ATCATCATCATCATCATCATCATCATCATCATCATCATCATCATTGTCATCATCATCTTCGTCATCGTCAACATCATCATCATCATCATCGTCATCATCATTATCGTCAACATCATCATCATTATCATCATCATCATCATCCAAATCATCATCGTCATCATCATCATCATCATCATCATCATCTTCATCATCATCATCATTATTATCATCTTCTTCATCCAAATCATCATCATCATGATCGTCATCATCATCCAAATCATCATCAGCATCATCGTCATCATCATCAAAATCATCATCATCATCATCATCATCACCATCGTCATCATCGTCATCATCGTCATCATCATCATCATCATCATCATCATCATCACCATCATCTTCATCATCATCATCATCATCGTCATCATCATCCAAATCATCATCATCAAGATCATCATCGTCATCATCATCATCATCATCATCATCCAGATCATCATCAACATCATCATCATCATCATCGTCGTCATCATCCTCGTCATTATCTTCCCAGTCATCATCATCATCATCGTACTATCCGGTTCATTTTTGCATGATAAACAGTTTTTATCTTCATTTTCTCTGCATGTCACTTCATTTTCACTAAATTTGGCGAGTTCCAAACCTGATGGTGAATGTTTCACATATGATGGTTGTTATGGTATATCGTGAAATCAATTCATATATTTAATATTATGTTTTACTCAGTGGTCATTTCAAATAACGGAACTGCCTACCTTCATCGTGAGCGTGACAAAAAAGAATAGGTTCTTCATGGCCAGTTGTTCAATCTATCTGCATTGGGTAGCTAAGTAAAAGATGAATGTAGTTCTAGTCGAGCACCAAACATGAAACTCAAATTATAATATTTTGATAACGAAGGTTACAAAGATCAGGGAAGCAAATGGCTTGAGCACTACAGCCTCCGTATAACTTGGCCAGGTTTGTGGCTGCACTTGTAAACAGTTAGATAAAGAGTGACTAATTTCTCGTTCTGATTTGGCAATCGTACAGTTCATGGGACCTGTTCATGTTCGAAAACATGGGACACTTTTCCGAAGCCCCAAATAGGCACGTTCACTAATTCCAGGGGAGCGCCACCTCTCTGACTGTGATTTGGACACGTCTAGGTTTTTCGGACAGTTTTGTTATTTTGTTTCCAATATAATTGGCTACGGTATCCGAGAGCATTCGCAAATTTTGTGTCTGACGGTTTGCACTGAGTAAATGAAAACCAAGTTCGATGCTTCGAAAGATATTAGGTCAGCAAGTGCACGTACGTGCGAACGATATCCGTTTTTCTACCGACGGGGAGGGTGGGTAGTTTATTTTTTGTCACCTCTGTCCATATTTACTTCCTTTCAGCCCCGTCGTAACCCGATCCTGGCTGGCTCACATAATCGCCCATATTCTCTAGTAAATTTCAATTGATTTCATCTACTTCCAACACCTGATTGCCCAATACTTCTGGTTTTTAGACAACGTAGACAATCTTTTGATAAGCCACACACGCACCCCACCTCGCGTAAAATTTATGCACGATTTTATTACTATCATTCACAAACAACAAGGTGTCATAGTACGCAACGTTTCGCTGGATTTAGAATGGAATCGGACAGGCACGAATGTCGCGAACCATGGAGTTTATATTCTTATGAATTTAAGTAGGAAACGCGTCCTAATGTATTGCTGCGATCCCCTAACCATCGTGATCAGTCAATGCATTGATAAAAGAGTAACGCGAACACACAATTTTCCATCTAATTATACAAGTAAGTAACATAAGTAGTATAAGGTCTCGGACAAAGTGACCGTAAAGAAATTCCGTTGTGAAATCCACGGGTCGTGTTTGTGGTGCGCTTTAACAGAATCCCCAAATGCCCTATCGGACTGCACATTACATCACACATGACCATTGCTACAGACACATGAGAAAAACTTTAGTGACCAATCTGATCACTTCCGGTCGTTGTAAATTGCAAACATCAGCGATCAGATGATCGAACAGTTCCGACCGGATAGGCCGTAATCGATAACGGTGTCGACCAGTGAGTGCATCAATGGGAACGCGAGTACAACCGGACGCATTCACTCACCGGGGCCGGTTTCAAAAGAAGTTAACCTACCCCGGGGCTTTTGCGTTTCTGACAAAACGGAAATTGTTTCATTCTATACCATGCACCCGGGACTGACGCAAGCCATAAAACGATTATGCATAATAACTACCTAAACTTTATCTCATTTAAAAACACTCCATTTACCTGATTGGAATATTGAGACACTGTAAAAAGTTTATTTTCTTTGAATAAATGCATTTGAATGGCTATTTATTTAAGAACTAATCACTTTTTAGGAAAACCCTGTAACTTTTGGAAAGCGTTATCTGCTGTTTATCAAATTACAACACGAACCACTAAAGGCCCCGGAGTGGATCTCCCCCTTTGGTATATTTTGGGTAGAAACGCTTAGCCCAATTGTTCCGCGTTTAAATATGTGGCTTTCCGCTTATTACTGTGAAATTGAAAGTAATTTTGGTCCAGTCTCCCTAAGGCCCTCATCGGTGATCCATGACTGTTTCAGCTCTTCGATAGAACTTAAACACCTTTAATTAGGACAGTTCATCCCCTAAATTCCATTGATTTTTGAATACAATCAGATCATTCACCAAGCAGTTTTTGTTCCACATCTAGATGATGACCTATAGGTGTTGACTGTCGGCTGTCGATTTGGTCTTCCTACCAGGTTGGAAAATGTTAATATCCGGTAAATGTAATTTTTTTCATCTTTGCGATAGATACTTGGCAAGCCGTATTAAGTAAGTCCAAGACCAAGGGATGCATCACTGAGTCCTACACGTTGAAATCACACACAGACAGATACACACACGAACATAACGAGAACTCCCCGATCCTCAGTATTTATTTTCACCGCCAATCCGCATAATATGACACGTACTTATCAATCGCTAGTTGATTCCTTAGTATTAGATTTGCCATTTACAATCTGCGCTCTTTTATGAAGTCTTTGTTTTAAGAGTACAGTGTTTCTGATCACGGATCACATCGACATGGTCAAAGGATTGCATCAGATTGAGCTAAAAAACATGTTCACTTGGTGGAGAACAGGGCAGGAGCCTGATCAACTAGATCCGATGAATTGGTGTTGCATTTCAAACGAATTCAGTTTGTCCGCATTGGTCAAGTGAACACACCTGCACACGCACAGAGCATTCACCTGACAGTGTCCTTCTAGCAAAACCACTGTGTTCTATCGTACTGTATGGTATTGCATTGTATTGTATTGTAATATATTCTATTGTATTGTATTCTATCGTATTGTATTGTATTGTGTCGTTTTGTAATGTATACCATTGTATTGTATTGCACCCCATCGTGTTGTAATGCATTGTATTATTTTGCAGTGTATTATTTGTATTGTATTGAATTGTATTGTATTATATTTTATTACATTCTGGAGTATTATATTGTATGGTATTACATTGTATTTTAGTATATTATTCTGCATTGCATTATCTTGTATTGTATAGTATTGTATGGTATTGTATTGCATTCTATCGAATTGCATTATATTGTATTCTCAGTACCGTATCAATTTGCATTGTATTGTATTGCTTTGAAATGTATTGCATTCTATTGTTTTATTTTGTGTACCTCTGTATTGCCTTGTCTTGTTTTGTATTGTATTGTTTTGTTTTGGTTGTACTGTATTGTATTGTATTGTATTGTATTCTACACTATTGTGTTCTGTTCCATTTTATTATATTATATTGTATTCTATTGTATTCTATCGCATGGTATTCCTTTGTAGTACATTATATTATATTTATTACATTGTATTCTATTTTATTGCATTTTATTATTTTGTTTTCTATTGTATTGTATTGAGTTGAGTTGTACTGTATTTTATTGCATTCTGGCGTGGTATTCTATTGTATTGTATTGTATTGTATTGTACTGTATTGTGCATTGTATTGTATTGTATTGTATTGTTTGTATTATATTGTATTGTATTATACATAACTGTTGCAAGCACTGGTGCACACATTTCAGTTAAAAAATCATGCTCGCTAACCATCACAAATTAAAAATCGATGAGGAAAACATTCTGGCAGACATGGGGACATTTCACAGTCTAAGTTCAAGACAAAGTCCACTCATTGTCCACTCTTTGTTTATGAGTAAACGAGCAAGATACGGTATGGATGAATTGCGGTAAGCTTTAATTCGAGATGAAATTTGACGGAATTGGGAGCGTGTGGAGGGATTGGAACGACAACGCGGCAGTTCTGCGTGCAATGGGTGGTCAGGATCTGTGAGAAACCGCTCCGTAAATTTCACACAGAAAAATACGTGATACTCTGAAAGCACTAAAGAAGAGATACAGCTAATAATGTTTAGATTGCGGCGTATGACCTTGAAATATTGTTTGAGTAAGCCAGGAAAAGT